CGGCGCCCAAGCCCTGCAGCTTCTCCTCAAGCAAAAACACAAAAAGCCATTTGCCCCTGCTGTTCTTCCCCGGCTCAAAAAGCTGGACGGCTCTCTTTGCCAATCGAGTTCCGAGATCACCGACCGCTGGAGGCAGCATTTTAGCCGGCATCGTGTGCCAACCTACCAATCTTGCTGGTACGGAAGACCCCCCTGCTTGGCCGCTACCACCCAGCCTGTATGACCTCCCTACGCCGGGAGAACTGATGCAGGCTTTGGCCGGATCCAAAGGGGGCAAGGCCCCAGGCCCGGACCACATCCCGGGCGAGGCCCTCGCCGGGGCACCATCTGCTCTGCTCATGCACATTCTGCCACTCCTCCTGAAACTGTGCTTGAAGGGCACGGAGGCCATTGGCATGCAGGGTGCAACCCTCTGCACCCTCTACAAACAGCGGGGAGCGCGCGAGGATTGCAACTCTTACCGCGCCATCATGCTACTTCCCACTGTAGCTAAGGCCATACACCGATCACTCCGCCCGAAACTCTACAATCACTTGGATGCGACGGCTCCGCCGACACTTTTGGGCGGCCGTCGCGGGGCTTCTGTCGTTTTCGGAGGACACCTGGTGCGGGGATTCTGCCGATGGCAACTGCACTCCAAATCCTCCTTCGCTGTGATCTTCGCTGACGTCGCCTCAGCCTACTATAGCTCGATCCGGGAGCTCACGGCGCGTCGACCAGCTTGCCGACAAAACCCTGGATGCCCGAATTTCTTGCTCACTCAGCATGACGGCCTGCGGCATCAGCTCAGCCAACCCAGTGTGTTACAGCAAGGGGGAGCGAGCCCATGGCTCGAGGGCGTCGTTGCAGAGCTGCATCGGAGGACTTGGTTCACTATCGCTGGGGATCGAGTCCCGGTTCAGACCCATCGAGGCTCACGTCCCGGGTCGACATTTGCTGACTTGATGTTCGGTGCGGGGGTTTCGGCCATCCTTGACCTCAAAGAGTCATTGCGGGCCCAAACTCCCGGTGCCGTCGCTAGACCGTGCATCCCGTGGGATGGCCTCCGAGACCTAAGTCCTGTTGGGGAACCCAATACCACTGTCTCCCTGGGTGATGTCGTCTGGGCTGACGATGTTGCTGAATGTGTGGTCTCAGAGGCTGCCGAGGCAATTGCAGCACAGGTTGCGGTTACCACATCCAATTTTGCAGAGGCTTTTGCCAGCTTCGGATACACCCTGACCTTTGGGGCGACAAAGACGGCTGCGTTGGTCCGCGTGTCAGGAGCTGGGGCCAAGCGTGCTCGGTCACAACTCTTTGGGAAGGGGGCTTCCCTTCCAATCCTCCTGGAGGATGCACCCACAGCGCGACTACCTGTCGTCGCATCATACAAGCATCTGGGAGTCTTGCAGACTCCGACGGCGTCTCTCCTTCTTGAAGTCCGCCACAGATGCGGCAATGCTTGGCAGGCCTTTCGTCAGGGGCGTAAGGCGGTGTACCGCAATAAAAAGATCTCCCTTTCCCGGCGTGGTATCCTGCTTACCTCAGCTGTTTTCACGCGATTGTTCTATGGTGCAGGGTCTTGGCCTACCCTCCGGGTTGGGGAGGAACAGGCCCTCAATGGTGCCATGCTGGGGATCATGAGACAAACTTTGTGCATCCCCTTTGACGGGGACCAACATGTTTGCCGCGCTGAGACCTGTGCCTTACTCGGGGTCGCTGATCCAGTTACCTCACTTCGGGTCGAACGTCTGCGATATCTGCGCCAGCTTGTCGCAGCTGCACCTGATGCTCTGTGGGCGCTAACACGCCTTGACACCGCTTTGCTCGACGCCTACCGAGATGCCTTCGGGTGGCTGTTTGCCCTCCTCCGGAATACCATCCCCATGCCTGATCCTCTTCTCGACTGGGAACCCTGGCGCCAAGTCATGACGGAAAGGCCAGGCCGTTTTCGCGGTTGGATTAAACGCGCCAAGCGTTTGGCAGTTCTTCGTCTTACTTGTGGGGCTGCTCTTTATGCCCTTGCCAAAGCGATTCAAATGGCAGGGGCTGCACGCACCCCAGACCCCCCTCAAGACGGGGATACCCGTTTCACGGAGGCTTGCCTGCCTTGCCGCATTGCTTTCGGTACAAGGTCGGCCTGGGCATGTCATGCCAGTAAGCTGCATGGCTACAGAACTCGAGCCACTCTGATTACAGCCGGTGCTAGTGGGTTTTGGTGCCGTGCATGCGGTAAGGTTTATGCCAATGCTGGGAGACTTCGGCGACATGTCGCCTTTTCTAGCGAGTGCCAAAACCAATGGGGGAGTTTCCAGGCGCATGGAGACCCTGACTCAATTGCCCCACACCCGTCCGCACCTCCTTTGCAGCTTGATGGGGTTCAGGGTCTCGTTTGTCCTGCGTCGCCTCCACAGGACGTCCACATGGGCCTTCTTTCGGCGCTCCTGGACTTGGACAATCCGGACGAGACTGCCACCTGGGATACGGTTGTTGAGTTCATTGCGCCTCTGGCGCACCTGCGTGCCACGCTGTGGGCTTGGGCCGCACATGCCCGGGCCCAGCCGGCAGCGCATGAGCTTGCATCCAACGTTGTGCTCCTTTTGGACCCTGAGCTTTGCTGTGATGACTTTAGGCATCGCAAGAGTGCTTTGAAAGGTCTGGACTTCCTGCCGGTTCTGGATACCCCTGCTGAGGTTGCCTTCCCTTTCATCCTCTCTGGCCCTGTCTTCACTCTGCGATTGGACTTGCCGCCTTTGCCTGAATACCGGTACCCTTTCCAGTGTAGCGTACCACTTGCGGCCGCTGAGCGTCATGCAAAGTGGTTTGAAGCTGCATGTGATACTGTAGGCGCCTTTGTGCAGCAATCGCAGTGCGCACCAGTGAAGCTTGTGGCGAGCTCGGCAGCTCTCGCTTGCCTTGAGCCGGCCACCTCGTGGCTACTGCTAGGTGGCTTTGAGCGATGTCCAAACGGGCTATGCTCGCCCCTTCAGTGAGCCCTTCTCGTTTCACCTCTTTGAATTCATTGTGCTAGGCGTGCGTCGTTATCGACTCAATCGCTCCGAAGAAAAAGAAGATATACACATAGATATGCATCTGCCAATCCCTCTGAAGGGTTGCCAATTGCACCTCGCAGAGATGCAAGTTCCTGCAATCGACCACGCCACTCCCTGTGGAGAGTTGCACGGCGGGAAGGTTACAAGTAGTAACTTGCCCACACGTTTCAACCCTGGACCACGCCAATCCATGCAGAGGGTTACACGCAGCGCCTAGAACATGCAACAGTACCTGTTGCACACCTACCGATTGGAACACTCGAGGAGGCCAATCCCTCTCAAGGATTGCGCGGGGCACCTAAAATGTGCAACTTTACCTCGCGTTCGAACACTCGACTACGCCAATCTAATCTCTGTGAAGAGTTGCATGTTTCACCTCAATGCACATCAAAAGTAATAACTTTACCTCGCGTTCGTGCGTCGACCAAGCCAATCCCTGTGAAGGGTTGCGCGGGCACCGCAAAATGTGTAACTTTACATCGCGTTCGTGCGTTCGACCACGCCAATCCCTGTGAAGGGTTGCAAAATTCATTTCAATGCACATAAAAAATGCAACTTTACCTCGTGTTCGTGCGTTCGACCACGCCAATCCCTGTGAAGGGTTGCAAAATTCATTTCAATGCACATAAAAAATGCAACTTTACCTCGCGTTCGTGCATTCGACCACACCAATCTCTGTGAAGGGTTGCGAAATTCATTTCAATGCACATAAAAAATGCAACTTTACCTAGCGCTCGTGCATTCGACCATGCCAATCCCTGTGAAGGGTTGCAAAATTCATTTCAATGCACATAAAAAATGCAACTTTACTTAGCGTTCGTGCATTCGACCATGCCAATCCCTGTGAGGGGTTGCAAAATGCCAATCCCTGTGAAGGGTTGCAAAATGCACGTCAATGCACCCAAACCCTGTGAAGGGTTGCGCGGCGCCCGCAAAATGTGTAACTTTACCTAGCGTTTGAGCGCCCGAGGAGGCGAATCCCTGTGAAGGGTTGCGCGGCGCCCGCAACATGTGTAACTTTACCCAGCGTTTGGGCGCTCGAGGTGGCCAATCCCTGTGAAGGGTTGCGCGGGAACCCTAAAATGTGTCACTTTACCTAGCGTTTGGGCGCTCGAGAGTTCCAATCCCTGTGAAGGGTTGCGCCGCGCGCCTAAAATGTGTCACTTCACCTAGCGTTTGGGCACCTCGAGGTGGCCAATCCCTGTGAAGGGTTGCATTCCCGATGGACGATGACGGTGCCACCCCTGGCTTTAGAAAAGAGATTAGATACCGAGATGTTAGAGTCAAGTAAGTAAGTAAGTAAGTAAGTTAGAGTCAAGTAAGTAAGTAAGTATACAGTCAAGTAGGTATAGAATTCAAATTCAAAGTTCATAAGTAAGTAAGTATAGAGTTCAAGTTCAAAGAGTCAAGTAAGTAAGCAAGTAAGTAAGTAAGTATGCAGTCAAGTAAGTCTAGAGTTCAAGTTCAAAGTTCATAAGTAAAAGTTCATAAGTAAGTAAGTAAGTATAGAGTCAAGTACGTAAGTTCATAAGTAAAAGTTCATAAGTAAGGAAGTAAGTATAGAGTCAAGTACGTAAGTATAAGTAAGTATAGAGTGCAAGTTCATAGCATAGAGTAAAGTATCAAGTGTAGAGTATCAAGTGTAGAGTCAAGTAAGGTATAGCGTCAAGTATGTCGATACTATGTCTGTCATCTATGTACTCATCTACCCGGCTCCGCACGGAAGAACCCTTCGCGATGCTTTCGGGAACTCCCTAAACCCTAAACCCTAAGAAGCTAAACCCGAAGTCCTAAACCCTACACCCTATAAACCCCTAAACCTGTTGGGTTGAGAAATCTGAGAGCCCTAAGACCCTGAACCCTAAACCCTAAACCCTGAATATAAGACCTTTATAAGCCCTATATAGTCCCCATATTAGCCCTCTATAAACCCCTAAACCCTTTTGGGTTCAGAAGTCTGAGAACCAGGAGCTCGTGGAACGCCATCGAGGGGAGACTGCTGCAGAGCTGCAGGCGACGGGGGCGCAGGGTTTCGGATTTCGGATTTAGAGGGGTTTAGGGTTTAGGTTTTAGGGTTTAGGGATCTTTCGGGCGTTAGGGTTTCGGATTTTGGGTTTAGGGTTTTGGGTTTAGGGGTTAAGGTTTAGGGATCTTTCGGGCGTTGGGGTTTCGCAATTGCGTGCGTCAGGGATGTTTATGGTTTAGGCTGTTGACTTCGATTTGTTCTGTTTCGGGTTTGGGTGTAGGGATTGGAAATCAAGGTTTTGGGGATCAGCACCGGGTTAAATGGACCGATTGGCTCAGATGCGCAGACGCCGCACCGCATCAATCGCAAACGAGGGCCCAGTCAGATGACCTCGCCGATGACCTCGCAGGGACCGGAGACTCCGCCGCGGCCGTCACCGAACTTCGGGGAGCTGTGTCAATGTCGTTTCTCTAGCGGCTTGCAGAAGCCAGAGAGCAAGACTGGCACACAGGCCCCGGCCACGGAGGACCCATTGGTGTTCGACTGATTGTGGGGAGGGAGGGGGTGCAGTGACTTCACTCCTGAATGGTTCAGGGTTCTCGGGTTACCGGCTTATAGGGTTTACTGAGTTGAGTGACTCCCTAAGTCCCATGTGGGGGTTTCCGAAAATAGGGGACCCTAATGTAGTACCCTAAATAGTAGGATCCCTATTATAAGGACACCTAAATAAGGTACCCCTATTTTCGGAAACCCCTATGTAAACTTACACCGCCGACACGGAGTCTACTGTTTCTGGCTTGAGCTTGAGACCAAGATGGTGACCGTTCACATGGGTGGCTGTCAAAATTAAGATCCCTTTTTGGGTCCTTATTGTAATACGGCACCTATTATTTAGGGTACCCAAAAGGGGACCCTAATTTTGACAACCACCCACACAGATCTCAGAGGATCTCAGGGTTGCATTGCAACGAGTGATGCCATTCCGGATGTATGCGCTTGATGAGGCTGATCAGGCTCATCAGGGATGTTCGGTTCACTCCGTGTAGCGATGCCAGTTGCATTGATAGTTCAACATGCAATTGCTCTCATGGGCTTCAGCGCACAGGCAGTTCCGCTTCGTCTCAATAGGATAGCGGATACTCTAGACCCTTAAACCTGTCTTTGTCTGTCTTTTGCCGCGTGCTGTCCTGCGTGTTCTAATTCCCTCCCAACCCTAAACTTGAGGCCTTCAGGCCTTTGAACCCTTAATGCCTAAACCCTATGGCCCTAAACCCAAAACCCCAAGCTTCCTAAGTTCCTAAGCCCTATTCCCTAACCCCAGCATCCTGTGACATCCGCATTCCTGAATTTGCCAAAAGCGGGTCAGACACCCGGTAGCCCCGAAGAGCATCCCACCACGACAACAAGAGACTACTTGGAGGTTCATGGGTAGTTATAAGGGTTCCTTTAAGGGCCCGTTTTTGTAAGGGATCTATGGGGATTCTGAAAGGGGAGAGGGGTTTAGGGTTTAGGGTAGTTGTAAGTGGGGTTATAAGTCCCCTAATATGGCTTATAAGTATAGTTACCCTACTTATAACCCTGCTTCTAACTACCCATGAACCTTAAACCCTATACCCTTATCGAATCCATATAGATCCCTTTAAAGGACCCCCTATGGACCCTACTTCTAACTACCCATGAACCTCCAAGTACCACCCTCAAACCCTGAACCCCAACATTCCCAAACCGCGCACCTGCAGGAAATCTCCCGAGAGTCCTACCAGGATGCCCAGTAGTACCCTTAGGGATCTATAAGGGTTCCTTAAAGGGATCTATAAGGGTTCCTTAAAGGGATCTATAAGGGTTCTATAAAGGGTTTAGGGTTTCCGAAAATTAGGGGCTAGGATGCCCAGTAGTACCCTTATTCCCTTTTTGTAGTCCTAGGTTCCTTATGAAGTTACCCAATACCAAAAAGAGAGGCCTTTTTATTCTTATGTTACTGGGTATCCTAGCCTATCAGAAACTTAACACCCGGGTCTCTTCATGTGACAGTTGGGACTTCAACTTTTGGAGTCTAGTATTACTTCTGGTAGGTAGGCTTCAACTCAAACCTTCGTACCCAGGAAAATTCCCCGAATCACCATCGACCCAGAGCCCCCCGCGTCCCTAAACCCTAACCCACCTAGCCCCTTAAACCTGAGGCCTAAGCCCTACCCTACCCTACCACTACCCTACCCTACCCTACCCTACCCACCACACGACCCTACCCTACCACTACCCTACCCTACCCTATACGACAAACTTAGGCAAGAAAAGCGCAGGCACTGAAGACTTCCGATGCGGATTGCCAGCTCCAGCTGGAGCAACTCTCGCAGGCTCACACCCTCAGTTTGGGGCTTAGCGTTTAGGGGTTTAGGGTTTAATGTAGGAACCTGATCAGGAAGCCCTGGGCCTAGAACCCAAATAGTGGATTCATATAAGGAAGCCTAATGAGGCCCAAGGTTTCTTAAATCAGGTGCCTACATTAGGGTTTAGGAGTTCAGGTCTAGGTCCTGGCCGAGTGTTCCTTAGTAGGAACCCGGTTTCTTTTTCATCACAATTAATGTGCACCGTTTCTTACCCAATCAGGTTATTCAACTACCATACACTATGAAACGGGCCCCGAAAAGGGCCCAGTGCTTACAGGTTCAGGGGAGTAGTAAGTAGTGTTATAAGTAGGTAGGGTGATGAGTAAGTGAGGTAGCTATACGTGTATGTATGAATATATATATATATATATATATATATATATGTGTATATATATACATATAAATATATACACATATAAATATATATATATATATATACATATATATATATATATATACATAACATGTGTATGTATATATATATATATACATATATATATATATACCTATAAATACGTACTTATAGCGCCAGTTGCGGTGCTTGTAACCCTACACACTAAGTCCCTTGAACCTCTAAGCATGGGGTCTCCTTTCAGGGACCTGAGTACGGATTCTACCGGTTTGGGGGTTCAGTGAAGACCTTGATTTAGGGTTGTAAGGGTTTAAGTTTCAGGTTAAGGGTTGGGGTTGGAGGTTATAAAGGTTGAGGGTGTGTCTTGCAAGAAGAAGCACCGAAACCAAATCAGTACCGTCTCGTATCTGCTATAAGGCACCTGAAAGGTATGCTGCGCTGACTTGAGAGATTGGCACAGACTTGCTCTAACGGAGGGTTTAGGGTTTGGGGTTCTTGTCCTTTCTAGTTGTAGTATAGTAAAGCATAGTATAGTATAGTAGCATAGTAGAAGTAGCTAGGGGTTATAGGACCCCTTAGCCTTTCTTTCAATCCAGAATTTTCAACTTCAACACAAGGCCTGGCTTGTGCCAGACTATGGAGATGTCATTTTGCGGCTTCGTTTGGAGGGCCATGGGTACGGTTTAGGGTTTAGGGTGGTTCAGTAGGTAGGATTTAAGAAGTTTAGAGTTTAGGGTGGTTTAGGGTGTAGGTCGTCAGGCGGAAGAACTGTTGTGGTTCCCTTCTTTACGACCCTACTTACATGGAGCCCTTAACCTTTCACTTCACCAAGCCTACCCCTAAACAGACGCCGAAGCCGCAAAGCCAACTTTCAGAGCTTGGCCCATGTGTCTCTTCAGTGCTTCAATACTTGAAGGCTCATGGGACTTAGTAAGTAAGGTTATAAGTAAGTTATAATTAGGATAACCCCACTTAGGGGACTTATAACCCCAATTATAACCTACTTACTAAGTCCCATGATCCTCTAAGTAGGCCAGCCAGCCTTACACTCCGATGCTTCAGCCATGATCCTGAAGGTCTGGCTTAAGGACCCTTAATGGGGACCCCTACCTCATAATGGGTATATAATAGCTATATTAAGGGTATATACCTAGGGGTCCCTTCAACCATGAAGGTCTGGCTTAAGGGCCAGAAGACCAACTTAAAACTAGGATCTTGATAGGCTTCCGGCCAGAGGACCTATCAAAAACTCAGCGACTCTGAGAAAAAGCTGGTAAGTCTCCAGACAGCAAGATGTTTAGAAAATCTCGGGAACTCCATCTTCCACCGGAAGGCTGCTGCGGATCTCTCAGAGGGTCGAAAAGGAGCGGCTGTGGAGGTTTATAGGGTTTAGGGCTTCGACGGTTTAGGGTTTAGGGTTTTAGGGCCAAGGCTGTTGCAAGTTATAGGACCTGCAAGGGAGTCGAACAGGGGGGTGGGCTGTAGGATTCACTAAGGGGTTATAGGCTATCGGGCTTCTGCAGGCGCATCTATGTGGAGTGGTTCTGGATGGTTCCGGCATTTTGAGATATGGTGTTTTGGTGGATCAAGCTTTTTTGGCAAAGGGTTCAAGGTTTACATTAGGCGTTCGGGGTTAAGAGTTTTTGTATGGACTAGGACTAGGTGGCTAAACCCAACCACTGTTACTACTTTGGTTGCACGGATTCTTTTGTAAGTGATGTTGTGCGGTAGCCTTCACCGTCCTAAGCCCGTTGAAGGACTGGTGAAGGAGGTGGACGACTGCCGCGCGATGGACAGGCCCAGAAGGGTTCGTTTGAGGGTTCCTTTGAGGGTTCCCTTCATTGCTGCATAGCTTAACGGTTCCATGATGGGGGAGCTTCGGGTTTAAGGAGGATAGTTTCGGGTGTTCCAGCGCTGCGGAACTTCGGTTTGGGAGGTTTTCTTGTTCGGAGCTTTGGAGTTTTTATTGTTTGGAGCTTTGGCGTTTGGGGTTTTAGGGGTTGGCTTCCTGGTGTTTTGTGGGTTACGGCTTTTGGGGGCAAAAGGTCGAAAAGGCTTACCGGAAAAGCATCTGGAGTTCCGGCCTTCTAGACATCAACTAAACCCTACCTGTTGAGCAGCAGATAGTCATAGGTAGACATACCCCTTCAAAGACCTTTCAATGAACTTTATCTTGCCGAAGGCTGAAAAGGCAGGTTTTCTGGGGCGACAGGAAATCACGGAGCAACACGACCCTTGGTCTACGTCTTCAGGGTTGTACAACCTCGGCGGCACGCAGACGGATGTTCACTCACCCTTCCACGTGCCTAGATTCGTCAGGCAGACCTTGCAGAAGTGCCTGGGTGAAAGAAGCCTCAACAGGGCGATGATCACACCGGAGGACAACCTCACCCCGCTGGAAGAGTGCCTGGAAGTGCTGAATAAGGTGAAACCGCTGAGCACCATCTGGAAAAACCGCAACCGCTGTACAATAGATAGAAGCACAACCACATTGCAATCTCTGTGAACAAGATGAAAGCAAAGCCACAACAAACGCTGTAAACAGGATGGCGACAATGCCACACAGCCACCCGCTGTGCATAAGATAAACGCGAAACCACACAGCAAGCGCTGTAATGGTTGCAGCCCCGTTTAAAACGGAATGGCGACAATGCCACACAGCCACCGCTAAACAGAAAAAACCAAGCCACACAGCAACCAATGTACGTAATACGACAACAGTTTAAAAACACAGACACACGCACGGCAAGCGCTGTGAACAGGATAGGAGCACAACTACAATGCAACCGCTGCAAACAGCATAGGGGCCAAGCGACACAGCAACAGACAAACCCATGACACCCTACAAGGTCCCCTACAAGCAACCCTCAACCCCCAAGCCCTGGATGCCCCTAAACTCCTAAACCCTCCCAAACCCTAAACCTAGGATGCAGCAAACTGTCGCCCCCCTCGAAAAAGGAGTTTAAAAAAAAAAACCTAAACCCATCCCACCACCCAAGTGGAAACCCGGAGAGGCAGATCGAGGATGCTGTGCGACGGATGGAGATCCGGATCGAGAGGAGAGGGGCCCTGAACCCTTTAGGGTTAGGGTTTCGGGGTTATGTCACAGTCTACTTAGGGGTACTTAGAAATATTGTTTATGTTGGTTATTACAATCCCTAAGAAACAGCTAAAATTATGATTTTTGCTAGGGTTCTAAGTTCAGTATAGTTTAGGGTTAGGGTTTCGGGGTTATGTCGCAGTCTAGAGCATAGTATATAGGGGTTTAGGAGTTTAGGGTTTATCATCTCCGTTTAGACGTCCTTCACAGGATCTGCATTTTGGTGGTTTCGTCTTATGATGTCCTTACACAAGTCCGTACACAGGCTGTTTGGGGTTAGGTGGACCCTGAACCCTAACCCCGAAACTAAACCTCAAGCAGCTGAGCAGTAGTATTAATATTCGTCTTCCAGGCTGTTGAGTGGTACACTGTTGTACTTTCAGGTTCCTGGGTTCGTATTATAAAAAAGGAAGCCTAAAAAAATATCTACTTCTTCCCAGTGGGTTACTGAACAGCCTAGTCTTACGGGGTATGTGTATATGCGTGGATGTACATACGCATAGGTTCGAGAAACGAATACATCGAAAGCATCGACATAGCATATGTAAATGTAGGCTTAAGCATGAGTACCCCTCCACTAAGAACATCAAGAAGCATGATCAGCACAGGGAGTGCAGGGGATGGAGTGCCGATGAGCTGCACAAAGCTTTCAAGTAAGCCCTAAACCCTAAACCCTAAAAGGAACAGCAGCGCCTTTGGAAACTCTTTGTGAGAGACCCCAAGGGCAGCCGGCCCGAGGATCTCTGCAAAGCCCTCACGGCTGGTCCAGGTGGCTCCGGTAAGACTTACCGTTGTTAGTAGGGAATGGAGGAATGGGGTACAATTATAACTACTATTACTACCATTCTTCCATTCCCTACTAACCAACGGTAAGAAGAAGCCGCAGTTTCTCCGTGGTGGGCTTTCCGACGGATGCAAGGTGGGGCTGACTACTTTCGCAAGGCCATCCTCACTAGGTGAGGCCATGGAGACATAAATGGGTGGTTGTCAAAATTATGGTCCCTTTTGGGGTCCTCATTATAATAAGGCACCTATCATTTAGGGTACCCAAACAGGGGCCATAATTTTGACAACCACCCTAATTTTAGACGGACCTTGCTAATTCGCATGATTTTGAGCCATGAGTCTCAGGTCCTGCAGGCTTCCGGGCTTTCAGGCTGTTGGGATTCAGGAGTTGGGACTTGGAGGGTTGGGGGACTTAGTAACTGTGCATAGACACCCAGAGACTCCAATTGCCCTTAATTAAGGAATACAATTACCTTAAATCATATAAGGGATCCTACCATAATTTAAGTGGTTATTTTAGGGACTTATAAGTACCATAACCCCAATTAGGGTCCCTTTTAGGGTACTTTCAGGCTACTTACTACCTACTTACTAAGTCCCCCGACCCTCCAAGGACTGGGACACCGACGACCCTCCGTCCCCCATCGGGGCTGGTCGGAGACTGGAAGCCAAAGCCAACAGCTCTTGAATTCCAAAGCCCGGAAGCCCTAAGACTCAAACAAAGCCCTAAAGCGAGGAAACGGAGGGGAGCCGCAAACAACGTTCGTGAACTCGAGAAGCATTTTTCGTGAGGATTTCCTCCGCAGCTGCGCAGTGCCTGGAAGGCTGCGAAGACGTTTCCAAGCCAGCTTTGTGCAGTTGCACTTCAGAGCCCTTAACCCTGACACCCATCACACAAAACCCTTTACTCCGGCCTTTGCAGCCTGAACATGCGGAAATCTGCCCCTCACCCTACGCAGCCTCAATGCAAAGGCCGACATCCGACCCTGAGAACCTTAAGCCCCAATGCGTTTCTGGGCATTGGACCTCTTAGGGTAAGTTGGGTTGGGAGCACCCTCATTGGGGTTACGACTCGATGTGACTACATCTAGCTTACTTAAGCGTGTCCAGATCCTTCAAGTTGAAGAGGGGCCGCAGTTCCGGGGAGTCGGGCTCAGGCTTTAGGGTTCAGGGTGGGTTCTGGAGTTTAGGGTTTAGGAAGTAATCGGTTTAGGTCTCCGTCGTCCCTATACGTACAGCCTAGCAGCGCGAAACTCCTGTGAAAAGTCAAGTGCAAAGCCTCCCGAGACCTTACAGCGGGCTCATGAACTACACTGAATCCCCCGAAGTTTCTGCAGCATTCCATCTTAAGTCCTTGACTCGAGTCACTTCTCCAGTCCCGAAGCCCGCACGCCTGCGCAAACCATCAAGCACCCGAAACAAAGCCATAAACAGCTGAAGCTACGTATTACGCTGCAAACCGCCAGCTCAAACCGAGCCAATGCCTCCAAGTCTTAGCCAAAAGCCCTGGCAAAGCAGCCGGAACACGGCAAATCACAAGGAAGCAACAACTCTGACCGAATGACCCAGTATCCTACAGCCTAAACTCCACCAAACCCTATAAACCTCTGCGGAGCTTCATATTTCAAACCCAACAAACAGCCTCGAACCCTAAACCCTATAAACCTTAAACCCCTAAACTCCTAAACCCCTAAACCCCTAAACCCTAAACCCTACACCCCTACCCTAAGGCCTCAAAGTAGTTCCTTTCTGGGGTTCATATATAGACTCCTATAAGGTAATCCCCAAAAGGAACTACTTTGGGGCCTATGGGTAAACCGTTCTCGGCGCCCTACGAAGGCCTCGACGCTGCCGAGCGCTCGGCAAGCGTGGCAGAGCGGAAAGCTGGTGAACTCAAGGCTTTTGGGGTTAGGGTTTAGGGTTGCGGGAAAACCCGAAACAGCTGAACCCCTAAACCCTAAGCCTCTGAGCCTAGCTAAGCCCTTCAATTCCTTCAACTCCGAACTATGCTGATGAAGGTCTGGCTGAGGGTCTGTTGTCGAAGTGGAATTGGGGGTCTGAGGCTTTGAGGGGTTTAAGGCTTTTTCGGCTTCGAAAGCTAGGGTTTTTCCGGAACCCTTCAAACCCTACCTATTTAGAGTTCCCATCGTTTTTTTTTTGGTAATAGCTCATTTATTTGGGCCATTTGGGCCCGAGGTAGCCGTTCAGAGTTTGGGTTTCTTTCGGGTTTGGGGTTTACGGTTTAAGACTCCGTGGTTTTTGTCTGTGATCCCTCCGCAACCTTGCTGAGGGTTTTGAACTGTGCAGAGCTTTGGGTTGCCTACGTTTCGATGGGGTTAGCAGTTAGGTGTGCTAGGGTTTAGGGTTTAGGAGTATCGGTCACGGTTTTGTCGGTACATCAAGTGTTGGCCGCCTTCCGGCAATGTGAAGTCACCCACTCATTGCGAACACCGGTATTCCGATACGGAGTGGACACGGGGCTCAAGCTCTAACGCGCACCCTTTTGAAGCCATGAACCCAAACCCTGGACCTTAAACCATACCTTAAACCACAACCCCTGCACCCTAAGCCCACTAAGCCCTAAACCCTCGCGACCCGAAGCGCTTAACCGCACCTACGGGGACGGAGAAAACGTACATGGAGGAGCAAGGCTGGCATTTCTGGTCGGTTTATTTGACAAACCAGGTGTCCTGGTGCAATCCGAGCCTTCGTCGCCGAGCTTCCTTCGGCATCTTCGATCCCTCACTGCCGGCCGCATGCCGCGCAACGTCGAAATTTCGTGGCCAGGCGATGGAATTCCCCGAAACCTTGAGAGGGAGGCGACAGGCAATCTCAACGGCGATGTCCGAAGCGGGCACGGCCTGAAGGTGGCCACCGCAGGGCCGTGTGCTGGCCTAGGCCTTTTCGCTGAGGCTTCACTGCACAGTCATTCGCTTCGTAAGGCTTGGACCCTCCGAAGTGCAACGCCACCGGCTGGACGCTCTCAAGCGTACTCACCTCCCTTTGCTCCATCGACCACTCCGAGACCTACCCTTAGGTTTTAGAGATCATGTTTTGGGGTTTGGCGTTTCAGATCGCATGCTCCCTCGCCGGTCAACAGAGTTTGATGCCAATGAATTAAGCCACAAACCCCCTGAAACACGAAATCCTAAACCCAACAACTCTCAAGCCGTTCCGAAAGCCTTAAACCCAAGAATCTGAAGGCCAACCAGCCCAACCAGCCTTCAGCTGCGACGTTGCACCCTAAAACAGCAACGAACTGGCTCCAAAGTCCGGAGTCATAAAGTGTATAGAGCCCTTTCCGGCTCCGGGTTACGGAAACCCTATAAGATGTATCCCTTAACCCTAAAACTTAAACCGCAACCCTATACTACATAAACCCCACCAGAACTCCAAATCCTAAGCCCTAAATGTTAAAGATCTCTAAGACCCGAAGACGCTGCTTGTGCCTTCCAAGTCCAACTCTCTACACTTCCGCGGGTCTTTGTTACAAGGATGCCGTACTATTTCGGGGACCTATAAAGGAGCCCTGATTTAGAGAATTGCCCAAATGAGTCTAGCATAATCATGTATCCCAAAACCTTATTCCCCTAAACCCTAGACCCTAAAAAGAAGCCTGCTAGGGAGGGCTACCTAAAATGAGTCGACCATAATCATGTAATCCAAAGCCCTACTCCCCTAAACCGTCCGTAAACCCTTAAACAGTAAAACCCTACACCCTAAGCCCCCCGAGAAGGGTTCCTAATTTTGAGAGCTCCCTAACTGGATCGGAGGAGCGCGCGGAGCTTCAAAACGAGAGCGTGGAGGCTTCTTTGGGTTTGGGCTGGGCTTACGGAGGAGTTTCCGGGGCTTCAGGTTCAGGGCGTTAGGAGTTTGAGGGTTGCGTGTGTAGGAGTTGCGTGGTTGGGTTTAAGGAGTTTCGGGGTTTGGGGTTTAGGGTTTAAGGAGTTTTGGGGTTTGGGGCGTAAGGGGTGCAGGGTTTAGGCCTTACAGGGTTTGGGAGGGTTTCGCATCCGTGCTTTTTGATTTAGCCTTCTTTGAGATTTCTCTGTAACAGTTTCTGAACTGATTTGATTGTGTTGCTGTTGGGTTCCCACAAGGCGTCAAGGGTTACAGGTTCAGGGTTTTGGGTATTGGACGCTTTGGATTCTGTTACGTATTTGCTGCATTTGCATTGAGTCTTTTGAGTTGTTTGTCTGGCGCGTTGTTCCGCAAGCAGCGTGGTACACACTCTCGGGTTATAACTATAACTATAACTGGAAGTTATAACGTTGATTTGCCGAGAACTGGTTGTCGGTGCTCCCGTTTCCCGTGCACCGAGCTGCCGACAACGTTCCCCACGATGCAGCTCGCGCTGTGTATTTTGCATTCACGTCTTGTTACTTCCGTCCACTATTTGGCCTCTAATGCAGTAACATCTTGTCCCATCCTGCTGGACCATCCGGAAAGCATTTTTGGCCACGCTCCCCTAAACCCCTAAACCCTGAACCCTAAATCCTGCACCCCAAACCCCTCAACCCCTAAGCCCTTAAAGCCTAAACCCCTAAACCCTTCACCCCAAACCCGTAAACTCTTAAGCCCTAAACCCTAATCCCCTCAACCCTACCTTAAACTACCAAACCCTACTGTTTTGTAGGGTCGTATTAAACCCTAATACGGAATTTGTAGGGACCCTACAAAAAAGTAGGTGTTGGTGTGTTAAGGTAGGAATCCCGCCAGGATTTTGGTTGGGGCGTTTTCAGTGAAGCTCCAAATCCGAACCCCCATAGCCCTAACACCCTAAACCCCTCAAAATCCTAAACCCTAACCTCTAAACCCTCAACACCGAAATAGCATGTATCCTAAACCCTAAACTCTAAACCCTCAACACGGAAATAGCATTTAAGAATAAAGAAACACTGAACTTATGAAACTCACCCTCCCCCCCTCAAAACGCTGTTTACTCTCTGAGGGGCCCCTTTGCCAGGCCCTGAAGAGCGCCGATGCCGATCGCCAGGCGGCTCACCAGTCTTTCCGTTTAGGGGGTTTAGGGTTTGGGACGTTTAGGATTTGGGTTTAGGGTTTCGGGTTTTGGGTTTTGTTTGACAGCGGCAGTTTCTGTATGCAAGTATTTGGGTACAGCGCAGATTTTAGCAGCATTCTGGAGGTTTATGGCTGGTCTCAAATGCAGCGTCACAAGTCCATCGCCACCCAGGCGCAGCTGGATCGGCTGGTGGGGGCATTGACGGAGCTTGGCGAAAGCCACAAAGGCGGAAAGGGGACCTTCATGGTTTGGATGGGTTCGTGCTTTCTCCATTACTGAGCCCTGAGCACTAAACCATCAACCCCCCCCCTCCCCTTACATCGAGAACTCGAAACCTTGAGCCCTGAACCCCTAAAGCCCAGTGGGTCTCGGTTAGTGATTTGGAATGGGGGTTCAGCACTTCCTTTCCCAGGGTCATTGAGAAGACAGTTCCTTCTGAAGAGATCCTAGCAAGAAGACAAAACCCACCTTATAACCGTTGTGGCCGTTGTCACGACGGGTAGTTGGAGCAACCACCGGTTCAGTACGTGGGCTCAGGGCGTTGCGAACAAAGAAGATGCTGATACGCTGAGCTTCAAGCTCTGTCATGTACTTTATGCTCCTAGAGTTTCGTAGGGGCTTCAATAGTTAGACTGTTACTCATGATTTCCGACCTCAAAGGAAGCTGGACTCTAAAGCCTATTCACCTTTGTCTAGCAAGCTCACACCGCGAAGTGTGGGATGGGGTTGTCGTGAAGCTAAACCGCATGACCGTCGGCTAGACGTTACTACTGACTGATTTTCGAAAAAGCCATAGATATACAAGCATCTTCTGCAAAGCAGCATACACAGCAACATAAAGACAATGATTGAACTATTTGGTTGGCTCAGGCCACATGAGAGACACGGAGGCCTTGCCTTCGGGCCCACCGAACTCTAAACCCGTCCTTCACCCTAACCCCAAATACATCCGGAGCCTCCCCCCTCACACTCAATCATGCGGTGAAATCCTAAACCCTCACCCGGAACCCTCATGAACCTTCAGCTCCTTCACATCTTGGTGCGAGGGTGCAGCGCGGCTTCTGTTGTCCAGCTTATCAGAACCGCCTCCCGACCCTGACCCTAAACCCCAAACTCGAAACCCAAAGCCGCAAACCCGAAAGCCTAATGACCCCAATGCTTCCCATACCCCAAGCCATCTCAAAACGAAGCTCGGAAGCCTCTATGGGCCAATGTAGAAGTCTGAGCAGCTGCAAAAAGGTTGTCCTCATTAAAGTATGCTTTATATTCTGGAATAATTGCCCCGGAACCCTTCTGAAATGATGAAAGATCCCCCATATTTAAGGAAACTCTTATGCCGTAACCCTACAGACCCCTTTTGAATCGTAGCCCTTTCAGGGAACCCAGTTCTATTTTACAGCCATTGCAATACTGCGAGGGATCCGGGCTGATGTGGAGAGCTTCCGCAGCGTCGATAGAAGGCTCTCCTCTCGGGATTTGGGTTTACTCGAATTGAAGTGATTTAGGGTTTAGGGCTTGGAAATGTAGAAGGGGCACAATAACACTGTTGATGATATAAATCCTGCATTACCCATAATCAGGAATATACCATAATTCCCATAGTTTAGGGTACTGACGGTAATGCAGGGTTTCTATCATCAACCGTATTGAGGGGTTGTAGAAAGGGTTTACGGGCTTTGGTAGAGGGCTGTAGGATTTAATCGGCCCAGCAGTTGGCTAACCTGGGCTTGGGATTATAGTCTATAATGGGGCTATACAATGGGTATATAATTGCTATATTAAGGGTATATACCCCAGGGGTCCTTATTGAGGGTCCCTCCTTCTACCCGTGGATCAGTGTAGGTCTTGGTTTTATGTATTCGCAGCTGGACCCTTGGACTACGGTTCAGGGTTTCATGGCAACAACCATTCCTTAGTTCGTTCTCCACCGCATGAGCACGGCAAACGCTGTGACCGCATGGCTGTTCTGCATCACACCCGACAACTTCCAGATCGAAGTCAGACGTATCCGTCAAACTCTGAAAGCGGCGTCCGGACTTCTAGTAAACACTTCTCCATTGATGTAAGGCAAGAAACACACCGCCCCAGTGGGGCCTCCTTACGGTTGATGATATAAATCCTGCATTACCCTAATAAGGAATATACCATAATTCCCATGGTTTAGGGTCCTTAAGGTACGTAATGCAGGATTTATATCATCCACCGTAGAACCAGAAACCTCCAGGCTCGCCCTAAACGCGAAGCTTAGAAACCCGCCGAGAGCCTTAAATATCCAAATGCCAGAAGGGCTGAAATCCGAAGTGTCCAACGCCGGGTTGCTACCTACACCCCTTCGAAGTCTTCCGCCTGCTAAACTGTACACTTTAATTACACACAGCGAAACACGAAAACTCGAACTCCCGAAAACCTAAGGCAGCCTCAAGCCCTCGAGCCCCTAGGCCCTAAACCCAAACAGCACTAAACCTGATTACTACTAATACTACTAATGCTACGAATACGAGGAATACTACAAATACTATTAACACTACTAATACAAAAGTACTATAATGCTATAATACGACAGAACCCTAAACCCAAGACCTCAACCCAAATCCCTCAACGCCGAAGGCACGTGGAGGAGGCCCTTAGCCGCATCGACGTCCGGCTCGAGCGCCTTGCTGCGACGACCGCCCAGAATTCCGAAGGCATGGCCCAGCGAAGCGGGATCGAATTAGAGCTTTCTGGCCTCAGGGTGTAGGGTTTACAGTAGAAGCCAGAAAGTTGGCACATCATTAGCCTCATGCCCTTAAAGTAAAGTATACGGAATCCCAGTATGAATCATCCTAAACTCACGTTCCAAGTTTCTGGGGTTCACTACAGGAGTTTAGGGTTTGGGGCATGGCCAAAAGAAACGAGGTCGAGTCAGAGTTTCAGTGCTGCTTAAGGCTTTAGTTTTGAGAGCTCTTGCATGGTTTCTGGACGTTTGCCGGGTGTTGGAGTGGAGTTGGGTTGGGGTTCAGGGGTGGGTAGGCTTGCTGGTTGAATCTGACGAAACCAAACAGCCTCCTCAAGCAGACAGTCAAGTTGGGGCCCCGTGTGTGAGACTCCAGCGATGCTTATATAAGTTTGATGCCATTCGGAGTTCATGGCAATTTGGGACTGATAGGGTGTAGGATTCAGGGTGTAGGGTTTGGGGCCTGGGTCTTATGGCTTAGGGTTTAGCTGCGGATGGCTTCACCCCGACCCAGACATGCCGTGACTGTCGTCAGGCCAGGCAGACATCAAAGCCTTCGCGCGCGAGGCTGCTGAGAAGGTGGGCAGGGCTGCTTATTAGCCTCATGTAGGAACCTGATTAAGAAACCCTGGGGCTATAACCCCAAAATAGTAGGATTCATATGAGGAACCATAATAAAGGCCCAGGGTTTCTTAATGAGGTTCCTACATTATTATATTACACTTATAGATCCCTGATAGTAACCCTTATAGACCCCTTTAAAGGAACCCTAATAAAGACGCAAGGTTTGCTACATTACACCCTCAACTCTCTACGTGGTACCGGCTCAATCCTCAAACTCAACACCCTACGCTCTAAGCCTCGTACCCTGCATCCCAAAGCCTGTACTCTATACCCCCAAGTTCGTCAAGTTTAGAACCCCCACTGCACTTGTCTGCTTCAACGATGCACAGCAATCTCACCGTCCGTGGCCGCCCGCCTCGAAGAAGTTGCCCTTGGCTTCTTGGAGCCTTTGACAGCGGCGGACCACGACAGAAGTCGGAAAACCACTTCCCGAGACGATACGGTTATCCTGGAGTTACCTGGCATTGTAGTAGGATCCTGACCAAAATAAAAAGCGAACTTAAGGATGCATATGTCGGTGTTTTACTTCTTTTTTTTGACTGGCCTTTGTCTGCACTTGAGATCCTCCCGGAGGTGGCCTTAGATGCCCGCGACCTCGTGGAACAGCGCTCCGGGGAGCTACGCGTAGGGCCTCCCAGAGTAGGGTTGTAAGGTTTAGGGCTGCGGGGTTGAGGGGGTTTGGGGTTTAGGGTTTTGAGGTTTGGCGGTTTAGGGTTAAGGGTTTATGCCTAAGGTGAACGGAATCTTTTGTTTACGGTCCATGGTGATGATGAGGTGGTTACAGTGAGATACATTAAGGACAACTTTACAGTTGGGTTGTTTAGAGGCAGCTTTGAGGTAGCTCTAAGGCACTCTTAGTTCCAAGGTATTTGGAAGTCAGTAAGTTTACCTTGACAGTTTAGGATTTGCATCATCGGGCTTGACTCCTGATGGCGGCTTTGCCTAGAATCGAAGTCTGGACGGCTGCTGTAGGGTCTTTCTAGTTCTTGTGCTGCAAGGCTATGTCCTGTTGCTTGTGCAGATGTTTTTTTGTCTTTCTAAGGTTTGCCTGAAGGGTCTGAACACCATGTCATGTGGCCGTGTCATGGGCTTGTGACGAGGCTTGAAGCTGGGCTCAAGTCGGGTTTGGAAGCAGCTCGGGTCTTCCACAAATCCAAGGGCAGGCCACAGAAGCGCAACGCCAAACCATGGCGACAGGAGGGAGGGCGTATGTCAGCCACTGTATAAAGCCCGAAAAGAACCCCGGACATTCAACTCGTAGATCCACCGCAGTGCCAAGATCCATCCCCCTCCCAAAAGAAGAGAGAAGATCTTGTAAAAGACACTACCTGAAGAGCCCGTTCGTCATCAAGTTCCAAGCCGAAGCCTCAACCCTAAAGCCTGTGTACCCTCAACCCGAAAAAACCCATGGAAGGTGCAGCTTGGAACAGGTTTCACACCTTACTCAACAAAGCAGGCACACACACCCCTATTAAGGGCCCTACTTGGAGGATCATTGGACTTAGTAAGTAAGGTTATAAGTACCCTAATTGGGGTTATAAGTATAGTTACCCTAATTATGACCCTAATTACTAAGTCCCATGATCCGTTAAGTAAGCCCTGAACCGTCAACTCTTAAGCCCCATAACCCCAGAACACCTCAAACCCCAGCCCCGTAAACCTAAGGACGCTCAAGCCTCAATCCTTAACGCCTTAAAGTCTTAAGCAGTGAACTACCCAAACCTCAACCCCTGAACACTGGGACCGCCAAGAGCCAACCCCTGATACCTCAAACCTCAACCCAAAAACCCCCAGTAAAGCCGAGACCTCAAGCCTCAAACCCAGAGGAAACGTCGTCGTCCGCACCAGGCAAACGACCCTAAACCCCCCCGAACCTCCTCGGCCCCTCAAACCCAAGCCTCAACATTGAAACTCGAAGAAAGCACGACAAAGATTGCCCAAACCCCAACCCTGAAATCCTAAGCTTTTCTCGAGCTTAAATAAGCACCTATGAATACCAGCCCTACCGGTAGATTCTCAAAGAACCCTAAACCCTAAACCCTAAACCTCAAACCTTAAACCCTAAACCCTAAACCCTAAACCCTAAATCCTCAGAGCCGAGGACCTCCTCGATCGGCAGTCCTTTGACACTGCTGGGAAGATCGAGGCTCCTTCCTGGTCTCTCGGTGCTTTTTGCGGAGTTTAGGGTTTAGGGCTTAGGGTTTAGGGTTTAGGGTTAAAGGGATCCTTTAACCCAAATCATGTAGACTTTAGGATGAAGGGGCCTACGCAGAATGTAAGAGCCCTATAAAGGGATCCTTTAAAGGGTACTGCAGGGTTCGATAGGGATGCCTGTAAGGGTGCTGTAGGGGTTTGGCATCCTTGGGGGGCTTGTAGAAGCTGAACTCCCCCAAAAAGCCAGGCTCCCGATATCGTCGTCATCATCATCATCATCATCATCATCATCATCATCATAGTGCTTACTGTTGGTTTTTGGGACGGGGTGTTGGGCTTTGACCTGAGCTGCCGCGTGGGTATCGTCTTCGCGTGTCTGGGCTCTTTAAGGGTACGTTCAGCAAGGTTTAGGGGTTTTAGGATTTGTTGGCTTGGAGGGTTGAGGGTTAAGGGCCTCGCTTCAGCGCCGCGGGTGCTTCTCTATCATTTGAGGTTTAAAGAGTTAGAGGGCTTTAGGTTCAGGGCACTAGGGCTAGAGCTTCGGGTCTCACGAAGCCCTTTAAAAGCCAGTGGAAAGCCTTATAGAATCTAAGAAGGCTTTTATAACCTTTGATCAAAATCTGTAAGGAACCCTCAAAGGAATTGAATTTTGAAAAGCCCGACTCACTAATTCCCTGATCAACTCGGTTCTGGCTCTATATATATATATATATATATATATCTATTACTTCTCATATTATATATATATATATATATATATTATTGTTCATAGTTCTGGAAGGCGCTGAACGTCCTGGATGCCGAGCGCTTGCAGCAGCTGGACCGGCAGGGTTGTCGGTTTGGGGGTTGCTTGAAGGCTCATGGGCCACTTCGTAAGTAAGGTTATAAGTAAGTTATAATTAGGATATCCCCAGTTACGGGACTTATAACCCCAGTTCTAACCTACTTACTAAGTCCCATAGCCTCCGAACACCGAGTCAAAACTAAGTTCATCTGGGCAAACATTTACAAACACGTTAAAAGTCACAGGCAAAGGTTTGCTGGAGGGGCGTGAATAATTAGTTAGTATACTGATATCCGCTTTGTAGTCCCTATGTTAGAAACGATAATAGCATGCCCCAAAACACTATTTTGTCACTAAGGCCCCTAAAATTCCAAACTTCTGTAAGATCTGTCAGATCTAAAGTCTTAAACGAGAGACCCTGTAAAGGAGACTTCTCTTAATCACCAAGGCCCATATACTGAAGCCCCCTCGTCGCGACGTTTTCGAGTAAACTTGCAGAGCCCTTTTAGTGTCCTTCTTCTCATTATTGTTACTATTATTGTTGTTTCTATTGTTACTATTGCTGTGCTACTGTTGCTATTGTAAGTCTTACTGTTACCATGAGTACCGTACATGTATCAACTTCGTCAGAGGACCAAGTCTCCAAAGCTTGCAGCGACCTCGCCGAAGCTCGGAGAGGCCACGACGTAACTTTCGGGGTTTTAGGATTTAGGGTTTAGGATTTTAGGCGTCTCGGCTCAGGCAATACACTGCTCCGTCCCTTGGCGTTCGCCGCAGTGTTTGCTAGGTTCCAGACCCCAGCACCCCCTTTTTGTGTGCGCCGCCATTGATACCTGGGTATCTCTGGCTTGCTGCTGCTGTTTGATCAGCCAGCACCCCTGTCGGGGACATTTGAGTCGCTGTCTTAGACCGACTCCACCCCCACGCTGGTGGGTGGCAGCCCTTTTCCTGCGGCTGGGCCCCGCATATTTCGCCCCTTTTCCGCGGTTGGGCCCCGCATTTGAGTCGCTGCCTCTCAACAGGCCGACTCCTTCTGGCGTGGTTGTATTGGCCTTTTCTTCTGCGACTGGCCCTCGCGCTGCACCGGGCTTGATCCTGCTCTTCCGTTTATGGGTGCCCGTCCTACCTACTGGCCCATCGAGGTTCTGGCCTGTCTTGGCATTGGTTTGGTCTGGCTAGGCCACGACAGCGGCCATTCCAAGGAGCGCGTCGCCTCCTTGGCATCGGCGCCAAAGGCGCCAACGGGCGGCGGCCAGGAGCCGCCTCAGATCAGGACAGCGGAGACCGGCAGACTTGAGGTTACTGCACAACCATCACGGCTCGATGGCGCCCAAGAACTCCGCCAAGGAGAAACAGGGGAAAGGTGGTGGCAAATCTGGCAAGGTAGAAGGACCGTTGCCGAGTTCGTCGCAAGTGCAGTTGGGGTTTCCGGCCGAGGTGATCACGGCGTTGCAGTCGATTCGGGACCGAGCGACGTCCGACCTACGTCTCGACGACTTCACCGTGGCAGAGGACCGCACGCTTATTCAGGCAGCGAACCAACAAGCATCGGCCATCACCAGAGCGACCAAGCGGTTGGAAGCGAACTCGAGGGCGAAGATCGCCTTGGGACAAGTTCTGGGGCAATGGCTCGACCGAGTGGGTCGTCATCTTGCTGCAGTGCCCCGGCAAATCAACAATGTCGGAGCACGCCTCGATGCAGACATTCAGGATGCGATCGCGGCGCTGGATGCTGCATCTCAGGGCCTGGCAGCTGGGCAGGCTGCCTTGCTTCGCCAACAGGCAGCCGAGGCAATGGGACCACCCGTCAGCACTATGGTTGGGCAGGAGGTACTCCGGATTGCAGCGGAGTTGAGGGCAGCCGCTGCAGTGCCATCAGGGAGTGCATCCTTGGTCCCAGCACTCGGGGGACACTTTGGCCGCCAGGATCTTGCTGTCGGGCAGGCCGATGGCGGAATAGACGTGGATGCTTTCGCCGGCTTAAGCACGGGCGCCGAGGAAGAAGCCCTTACAGCTTCTCCGGTGAGACTGATGGTCGATCCGGGTCCATCGTTACCAACAACTCTGCACCGTCGATGGTCCCAGAAGAGGGCCACCGATCCGACGGTACCACGGCCTTCCAAAAGCCCCAGGCGGAGCGACCCACCGGGAGAAGACAAGGCAGTGGAAGGTGCAGAAATACCTACCCCTTGGTGCCGTGGGGCCACGGGCCGTTCGCCTGTCGGATACAAGCCAACGCCCATCACCACTGTTGGGGATACGGCCGGGTCGATGCTTGGTGCTGGAGGAGGACTGCCAGAGGCTTCGGGGCCACCGCTCGGCACATTCCCTCCAACGGACATGCCGTGCCCAGCGCAAGGCGAGGAAGACTGGGCATTCGCCCAACAAACCTGGATCATGGCATGGATCGCGCTGGCTCAGCGCCTCTCCCTTCAAGGCCGGGACCTGGTGGGAGATGTGCCCAACCCTCCGGACCAATCGGACCTTCCTTGGCGCACAGCCACCGAGGAAGAGGTACAGAGTTTTCACCAGACCGCGGAGGCGACTTGGCGATCTCTTCTCGAACACGCGCAAAGCCCAGAGCTGGTAACAGGACCACAGGTGCTCCGCGTGGCTCAGGATGTCCAACGACTTGGAGGCATGATACACTCCCAGCCCATCCTGGCTACGTCCTGTCGACAAGGTGTAGTTGCTCTTGCACACCTTCTCAATGCGAGGATCCTCGGCCTGGACGGATTTGCACCTCAAACACGTCAGGAGTGGGCCAACCCCCACGAGGTGTTGGCCAGAGGCCTCACTCCGCACGGGCATCTTGCTACCTCAAAAACGGAGGACGAAGCCGAGCTGACCCTCCTCGAACAAGACTGCCCGTTCTTCTGAAGCGCGCGGAAATGTTTAAGGGCCTCGGCAGGGACATGAGGGAATTCGAGCAGGGTGTTGTACAGGTTTTCTGGGTTCTCTGTACAGCTGCTGTAGCCGCATTTGGTCTTCTGCGGCTCAGACCACTCTGCCAGTGCTTTCCCACTCGTTGCTTCGCTCCTTTTGTTCCAGACTGGTGGAGGCTCGATGCGTCGCACTTTCGTTCGTCTCTTCCGCTTGGATTTGGCGGGTACCTGGTTCCTTGCCAAAAGCCCCAAGCCCCTTCCTGCATACCTTTCAGGCGTCGGCGTCAAGGCAAAGGGCTCTTTCTGTCTTCTTCGACACTGACCCTTTCCAGGATCGGGAAGGTTTGCTAATCTCTGCGTACCGAGCTGTGCAGGGCAATACCCCGATTTACCTCCTCCGGGCCTTACCACCCATGCCAGGTCTGCCTCCTGTTCAATTTGTCCAGGCTGTCCAATCTGTGCTGCAAACCACATATATTGTAGATGCGAGGCCTGTAGGCGGTGAAATCAGTATTGTATACCTCGGCCCGAGAGCACCAGTTCGGGACGTGCTGCTCCAGCTTCCCACATTCCGCCCATCTGGGCCTCTGGGATCTGACATTGTTGCCCTGGCCAGGGCAGGAGATTTGCGTGTACTCCACAGAGAAGCCAGCATGCAAGTTGATGATGTCCTCCTTGGGGATCCCCCATTGTGCCTCCTTGTGACCCCGCGTAGGGTTAGAGCAGCTTCCGGCCCTGCTAGAGACCCATTTGAAGAGGCCGGTCATCAGCACGATGACACGCTTAGTCACCCTAACAGCGCCTGCCGTAGGACTGACGGAACATGGGCAGTCCTCGCGGCGACCAGCCTACTTGGAGGGTGGAGGGGTTTCCTCTTGGGTTGTCTCTGCCTCCTTCAAGCTGATGCCACGGGCCGTGCATGCAGTCTACCAGCTGACCCTGACCGTATCGCACGAGCTGTTGCACTGCCCCATGGGCGGCACGACGAAGTGTACCATGACGCTGCCATGCACATCCGCCTTCAGCAGTCGCTACTGGCTGGGTTCGAAGGAGACTTTGCTCCTCTAGTTGCCGGTTTTGGGACCCTTTTCCACGCTGTAGAGGTCAATGTGTGCTTATGGGCGCCTGATGACTTCATTGAGCTGAAGATTCCAGGCTCGACGTCCAGGCAGCTTCTTATGACACGTCTCACTGAAACAGCAAGGAGTTGGGGACGAGGTCAGGTGGTTCCCACTGCTTTCGCGCCGCATGCCTTAGCCATCCACTTTGTTGCGGCTACCGTGGAAGCTGGCCACCGCACAGCCCTTTTCGCCACCGGCACCAATTGTGCTTGCATCGATGTGCCCCGGGACTCTCCCAGAGATGTTTTGCTCCGACAATGCTCAGCCAAACTGCGGTCGGACTGTATTCGCATACTACCTATGGCGACGCCCTTGAGACATGGCGATGTAGTGAGGGTTGAAGTTGACAGTGACTTTCGTAGTGCCGATGTCAGTCGATTCCTTCTCTATGTGGAGGATACTTGGCCATCCAGGTGGCTCGCCTTCCCTGCTTACCGCCAACTTGCAGTGATCTTAGCAGTGAAGGGGGTTCAGATTCTGCATGATGCCGACCCCTCCCGCACCTGCCGCCGTGCCGCGGAAGAATGGGTTCAGGAACGATTCGGAGTCCCGAGGTTAGTTCTGGAAGTGCCAGAGTTGACGGCCCTGCTTGGTTTTCCCTGCTTCCACCCCCTCAGTGTAGGCTGTGCCAACTCAGTACTTTGGCTGCATGACCACTATGGCATCGCCGATGTCGGCATTGCAATGGCCGCCGAGGGGTCCTTTTCATCTGCGGTGGACGTCTTCGAAGCATGTGCCAGGTCGTCTACGGCGGCCAGAGCGGTCTGCAGCATTGTGTCACAGGCTGATCTCAGAACGGTCCGTACCACACATGGACTCTGCGCGGGCACTGGCAACATCCGTACCCTCTTCGTCCAGATGGCTTTTGACATGCAGGCCGTGCCAGGAGGCTCGTTTTCCGTGTTCCGGCAAAGGGCCATCGCTATTGGCTCTCGAGCTGGATCAGCGAGGGCATCCCGTCTGCCTCGTCCACGCAGCTCTCGCTCCCCCACTGCCGGTCACAGGGATGCATTTACTCCAAGGCCAGCACCTCCACCGCCCGCGGTCCCCATTTGTCGCCCCTCCCACCTGCAGGCGGCAGAGGGTGATCTACGCGTACTTAGATGTGAAGAACAAGATGTTACATGCGTCATCAGATGTGGGCCGCACATGCAGATTTGGGCACTCAATGTCGAGGGCACCTGGCTTAGTGCTTGTACTGCTCAGCTCTCCTGGGAAGCCATTGCTTCTGTGGGTGGGGTCACATCTTGGGACTCAGCCCACCTGGTTGTTACTTCCGGTCAGCAATGGTGGGAGTATCCGCAGCCACTTACGGATGCCTCTGAACGCTGTCTGTACATGCATCAGACATGTGCAAGCTGCATGCCGAGCCCCTCACCACCGCCCATAGGCCATTCAGCTCCGGCACGGGCGGCTGCAATGCTTAGCATGCTCTCGCTTGGCAAGCATTGGTGGCTTCCCATCCTCTGGGCCTCACTGGCAGAGGCGAGGCCAGCACAGCACCACAATGACACATCCGATGATGGTGATGAAGCAGATGCTAGTAGCAGTTGCTCATCAGGCCTGGGTTCGACTGTAGCACTGGAAGACCAGCGAGACGAGTGCTACGCATCTGTCCCGGCTTGGGCGATGCAGGCGGCTGCAGCTGCCAGCTGTTTCCCAGTTGACCCTGAGCTCTTGCACCCCTGGCTTTGCAGATTGACCTCGGAGGCTCATGACATTCGTTTGTGGACCCCCTTACACGGCCCGTCGCTGATCCATTGGGATACGCTACAACCGACCTCGCTTGCAGAAGGTCTCTCGAGCGGAGGTTTCCGCCCGGATCGGCATGAATTATACGTCGCTTGCGATACTGATCCCTTCACTCTCGAGCTCGTCGCTGTACCGAGATATCAAGGGAGTTGGTGGATTGTTCGCGACTTGCTCAGCCGGGAGCTTCTAAGACCCGTTGCCAGACTCCCATGCGCTGGCGTTCATGTTGCTGCGACGATCAACTCCGCCGGAGAGGTCAATGCCTTGGCACATCACAGCCGAATCGCCGAGTGCGCCCATCTGCCACAAGGTTGCCGCGCAACGGTTGTGAATCCTGTTGATGGTTTCATTGGTTCGCTCGGTCAGACGGGGCTTGCCTTCATAGCGGGCCTCGCAAAGAGTCATGGTTGGAACGGATGGGCGGTCCTTGCTGCCCTCTGGACTCCCATCGCACTTGCTCGTCCGCTTCCGGTCGCAGCCGCTTCTCCAGTCCCCGGCCCTCTACTCGGTTTGGCTGCTCTATGGCTCCAGCCAGCCTTGGCAATGCAACAACAAGCCCAGGTTGCCCAAGCGCGAGTTTTCACGGCTATCAGGATCTGGATTGTAGACCATTCAGCCCCAATCTACCTTGCAGGGCCGCCGTGGCCCTCCGAAGCCGAAATCCACAATATTGTGCATATTTGCGGCTTTGGTGTTGCCAGGCGCGCTAATACCGGTCCGGGCCCCGCCAGGTTCTGCTGTTTACGAAGCCATTTACGCCCCTCCACACTTCGCAGCGGCGGGCATTTCTGTCTGCTTGGTCCAGCTGGAGGGCAGGGCCTCAGTCTTCTCTTTTGAGTCGACCCACTTCGACTGGACGGCCTTTGGACGGTGGGTTGGGGATACTTTTCGGGATGATCTCAGTCAGCCCCAGGTCCTCTCTTTTAGTATTGGGAATTGTGGTTTCTCCTTTGGGCAAACTGTGCAGGTGCGAAACGGTGACCACCTCATTCTTTCTCGGGCTAGGCAACGATATACAGCATATCTTCCACCCCCCGACCCGTGGACACAGGAGCCAGTGCACTCCCCGCAGACGTACCTGTTGCAGACGGGACCGCTCAGGGAGGCACCACTCACCGCCTTGCTGTCTCAGCCTACTGCCGGCTCTGGAGCCACCCCAGCTGGATGGCACTGGAGCATCCAAGCGGGCGGTGTCCCGGCACAACAACAGCCCCCGCTTGTTGGAGCTGTTCAGACCACCGGTGGTCACACGCAGGCCCTTCCTTCTATCACTCCGGGCCCAGGGATGTGCCCACAAGTTCAGCATGCCGCCTGTCCTGGCTTGGTCACCCAGAGCCATGCCAGTGTACAAACCGAGCCTGGCACGGCCACACTCGATGACGTATGGTGGGCCATCCAAAGACATGCAGTGCCAACTTGCCGCTCTGGCCGCACAAGCCCATGTCCCTCCGGTTTTCCAGGGCGATGATCAGTCCAGTGCTATCGGACATGTCCGGCTGCCCTCCTCCAGTCTGGCCTTGGTCATCGCCCTGGCACTGCCTGGCTTACGGCTCAAGGGGCTGATGGCTTGCTTCGGAATGTCCCTCGCGGTAGCAATGCCAGGCTCTGACAGGGACGATCGGAGTCGCTCCCAGTCTCCGGCCCCAGCGGAGGCACATCTCCGGTTCTTGCGAAGTGATATCCATGGTCGGCCGCTTGGCTCCAGTGGTAGTTTCAGGCAAGCACATCGCTTGGCGCACTTTCCGGGGGCGCCACCGTACTTCGGTCCCTGTTCTGTCGGAGGATGCTATCCAAGGTCCCCAGGCTCTGACCGCTGGAACAATCTCCACGTTGCAACAGGTCCTGGCACATGCCTGCCCTGCTACTGAGGTCACTACGGGGATTGCAAGGTCTGGGCATTTACCCCTCCGCATTCACAACCCATTCATGCAAGAGCCTTGCGCGCCGCTTGTTGTCGGTGCTCACGCTGGCAGTGAGTTCCCACCTTGGTCCCTCCTTCGGGATTTTACGGCTTAGAGGATGGGACAGACTTGTCCCCGCCCACCCACAGCCTAACCAGACAGCACTTCACTTTCTGCCTTTACCCGATCTCCCTTCCTTCCCATCTGACAGCCGATGACAC